TGACTTTTGAAAGTGCAAATTTACGCATACCACGAAGTGGCAACGTTCCTAATCGATTAATATCTTGACGTATGTCAGCGCTTTCACGAACAATTAAAATGTAACAAAAATATTATTGTTCCAGGCCGTACTTAGTTCTGATCTTAGTTTCCTTTTCTTATTGTAATATTCAGTTAAGAGTATGAAAGACACTTGAATGTCTTCTTGAGTACCTGACCTATCAGTTTGATCAATTGGTCGAAGTACTAAAAAAGACAAAAAATTCATGGGTAAAGAAATACAATGGCCACAACTGATCAATAAATGTTCAGCATCTGTTAATATCAGGGACATATTTAAAAAGTATCAGATCATTGAAGTTCGCATTGTTAATTGCTCCTTATTCTTGTGCACTTTTTATTTCATCAGCTCCCTACAGTACTTACTTGAGAAATATCTACGTCCCTGTCCTCTTTAATTATCGTCGTGCAAATTTGATTCTTTTTTGTGTCCTGACTCACTCAACAAACTATGCATTAGGTTTCTAATATACAAAATTCTTTGACAGAACGCAATAGGACTACGACACATTGTTTTTACTCTCGATAAACTGAATGTTGGCTCGAAATTGTTTATGATTAATATGTTTTAAGCTAGAGTGTCAGCAAGACTGCTTGATTTTAGTGTCTTGCTTTCATTTTTTAGTTCTTTTCGTTTTTCTTTTTACGTACGATACCTCTTACCAGATTGGCGAGCGATATCTTTATTAAAGTAAATTAGTTTATTTCGTAATTTTGTGAGTGAAGAGTTGTGTGTCGTCCTTCGCGTTTCATATCAGCTCCGTCGTGTTTCATATTCTGCTGAAACGTGCATTTTTTACGGAGTCAGATTGTCGCTGTGAAGATATCGTTTAATTAAGGCATACTTAATGACGTGGTAAATTAAACAAACTAATAAAAGTTTACGTAATTATTCAGGAGGAGGTGTATAAATAATGAACTTGAAATATGTTGTCGAGATCAGGATTCTGACACCGTCACTCGGTTTCAGCTTCCAAAAGTTATTCAGAATGATGATGGCCTTGACAACATACATATTTCAAGTACATTGAAATCGATGAAGTTCCTGGATAATTATCGAAAATTTACATTCGAAACTATAGATATTATAAACACAAATGGCGTTGCAAAATATTATTATACAAAGTGGACGTTACTATAAAATGTTTTCGAATCCGGAAATTCATGGGAAAAGTGATAAAACTATTTGATATTTCGTTTAGGCATGCGAATTAAATACAAAGATAAAAATGAAACTTTTACGGAAGACCAGCTCGTAAGCAAGGAACCCATTGGACAGTTCAAAGCATGGTTCGATGATGCTTGTAATACACCACAAATTTTTGAAGCTAATGCGATGATGCTCGCTACAGCTACTAAGTAATATTAAACAAGTGGTTTGATTTAATACACCTTAAGGATACTACAAGGTGTTGATTTTTTAGACATGGAATCCCATCTGTGCGTGCAGTATTACTTAAAGGCTATAGTACAGAAGGTTTCAAATTTTATACCAATTATGAAAGCAGGAAAGGCCGAGAGCTAGTAAGTATTTCAAATGTCCAAGATGTACATACATGTATAAATGGATAAATTATTGCAAATATTGTAATAAATTAGTAAATAATTATTTTAAAGTATTGTAAACAATCTTTACAGGCTGAAAATCCAAATGCAGCGGCAACTTTCTACTGGGAACCACTAAGGCGAAGCGTAAGAAACGTTACTACTTATCACTGCTATAAAAATAAGAATGTTTTATCTTAAAATCTCTTATTTCAATCAGGTGCGTATAGAGGGCAAGGTGCAAAAAACTTCTCCGGAAGATTCGGATCGTTACTTTCAAAGCCGGCCGTATTCTAATCAAATAGGATCAATAACTAGTAGACAGAGCAGCATGATTGCGAGTAGGCAGACACTCATCGTAAAGGAGAGAGAATTAATAGCTCAATGTCCGGAAGGCAAAGTTAAAAGACCCGACTGGTGGTAATTAATTGCTGCATAACAATTCGGGGAAATATCGGAAGCAGGTGCACAAGAATAATCTAATCTGATTTACAGGGGAGGATACATCATCATTCCACATTCCATAGAATTTTGGCAAGGACAAAGCGATCGCTTACATGATAGAATTCGTTTTAGACGGCTTAAATCGAACGAAAAGATCGATAATGTACTCGTTCATCAGGGAGTTAATGGATGGGTTTACGAAAGACTATCTCCATAATCGTGACGAAACATTTTATGTTAAAATATAAATAATACAACATTTGTTTAATAGGTGGCTGAGAAATTGCGATTCTGGTTAAGGTTGTTGCTTTCTTGTAATTTTTAGAATTTCTCTTTGCACGCCTAAAATTATATATATGTATATATAAGATTCATGCTTGTTGATAAAATTGTAATATATTGTACTTTTATAGTGGATGACGAAAGTATTTGGACATTTATCATAAGATATTTTTATTAATATAACTATCATATGTATTGTACAGTATTTTCCCAAAATTTTACTGTTGTGTATTATAATAATATGAAGGAATTGATAAACTTTGTATTATTTACATATAAGAATGTGCATAGAAGTTGTAATATTGCAAATATGTAGACGATGCACATAAATATGTAATTATTCTTACAATACTGTAATAATGTCAAATACATAATTATACGAATATACTTACGATATACTATACTGACAATAAACCATGTGTCATTTGTACGCGTGATTAGATTCTCTCTTTTATACTAAATGTTCAAAAACTTTCATAAATTACTGTACATATTTATGCATATACATAATGTGCAAGTAAAGTAATTAGTTACCCTCTTTACTTCTCCATGCTATTTCGATATTAAAGATATCATCTTCCTCTATGAGATTCTGAAATTGCCTCATTCCTCCTCCAACACCGAAATAATAAGTTTTAGCGGCAATAAATCTAAGAACATTATGTGATCCGAAGTTATATTTTATTCACACAATAATTTAATTTAACACTTTAATAATTTTACTTGCCCGACACCCTCTTGTTTGAGTTTTCGTTTAAAAACTTCATACAGTTTTCTATGATTATCGGGATTATAAATGGTTTCACTTGTAAAAATTATATCGTACTTTATCAACTCAGTCTCATTGTCCGAATTATTTAATTTTGTGAACGATTCCCAGTCGCCGCAAAAGAATTGACATCTCTTTACGATGCTTTTCCGATCATCGATATTTAACAACACGTTTGGAATCGTTACGGTCTTAATCACTTCTACATTCTGTAAATGTAATTTTTTCTCGTACATGGAACTTTATATAACTCATACGATTTATATGTATATTTGTACAAATACAGACGTAGTCTTGAAAATGAACGATGCTATTTTTTAGAAGAGCAATGAGGCCAACAATACCAGTACCGCATCCCAAATCCAAAATACATTTATTTTGTAAATCAACGTTGTTCTCAAATAAATAATGTGCTAAATCGTAACTGCATTCCCAGATTTTTAAACCACCTTAATAAGAGAGTTCAATAGTTATTATTTTAATGGCGAATTTTCGTTTCTCTTTTAATATTAATTGACATTGGTCATGAATGCACGATTCGGAAATTTTGTAAAAAAAATAAACCGAATATGAACTACCTTCGTATTTCGCAGGTATAAGATCAGAATGTTGTGATTCTGCTTCTATGATACTTGCATAATTTTCTTTTTTCAAGTCATTCAAAGCCGTCTCGGTTCGTAATAATTTCAATTTACAACCAGGAAATATTATATTTTCCATATAATCATTAGGTTCATATTCTTTTGCAATTTCTAATGCCGATATCTCAACTTTTGCAGCTGCAATCCAATCGATTCCCGATTTTTTCGTATCGAGATCTTTTGCTGAAATTGTTATCGCGGTCACATTTGCCCTCATAAAATTATCATATAATATTATTAAGCTCGCAAGAATTTAAAACAAATCGTGAATCACATGTGCGCACGTGGGTAACGCAAATATAACCTCGGAAAAGAAATCTACTGCTATCTAACTAAAATAAATATATTAGAAACAAATAATGTAACAATACTCTTATCGCCCTTGTCTTCAAAAAATCCAAATTTGAACATTCTGTTTTTGACACCGTATTTGCACAGTAACAAACTAACAATAAATTGGAATCACAAGTCAAACTGAAACACAATAGCAGAGGCCTCTAGCTCTGCGCATAAATAGATACAATAATATGATACGCAATAAATGCCTGTATTTAAACTCGTAGTTGCCTTTAATTATTTACTTTTAATAGTTCCAACATATTCTTTAAATACTGTGGAAAGTATTGTTTTCAAACTGTCGGATTTTATTGATAAATTATTGGTGAACATTATTCATTTCAATTGTTATATCTGTGTGTTTGAATTTCAGAGAGAAAATAGATATTCGAATTGAAAAATTACATGCCTT